CCTCCCGGCGCCTGACCGGCGCTTCTGCTCTGCCCCGGCCAGGACAACTGGGACGACGAGGAGGAGGAGCAGCAGGAGGAGGACGAGAAGGAGGCCGAGGCCAAGCCAGGTGAGCGGCCGGGCGGCGGGTCCCCGGGAGCCCCGCGGGAAGCCGCCGCCGCCGCCGCCGCTAACCCGGTGCCTCTCCGCAGAATCCAAAGTTTCCGACAAGAAGAAAGTCGCCGAGAAGATAAAGGAGCGGGAGAAGCTGCTGCGGAAGAAGCAGGAGGAGGCCAAGAAAAGGGTAAGGGGGTGATGGGCGGGCGGGGAACGGCGGCCTCGCCCCGGCGCCTGGGCGGCCTCCGGTGCCTGCAGCGCTGCCTTGTCTCCCCTGTGAAGTTAGAGGAGTCGGAAGACTCGAAAGACCTGACGCCGGAAGAGCAGCTGGCAGACAAGCTCCGGTTGCAGAAACTGCAAGAAGAGGCGGACCTGGAGCTGGCAAAAGAAACCTTCGGTGAGGGATGGGATGGGGGGTTGGGGGGGGGCTTGGTCCTTTGGGGGGCTGCCGGGGGGTCCCCAGATCCTCTGAGGGTGAGGCCATGCGCTTGAGCAGCCCTCTCCAAGCACGGCTCCTTTCTTACAGGTGTAAATAACATATGTGGAATAGATACTATGAATCCATCCTCAAAAGATGATTTTACGGAATTTGGGAAATTGTTAAAAGAAAGAATAACACAGTACGAGAAATCTCTATATTATGCTGGGTTTTTGGAAACATTAGTTCGAGATATATGCATTTCATGTAAGTACATTTAGTGAAATACTATTGTTTGCACCCTGCTTAGCTTGGAAACAAAGAACAATTCTCCAGCGAAAAAGATCAGGCTAATGGGATTGAATTTGTTATTTATTAACTCAATCTAGAAAAGGGTTTGTAACGTCTTAAGATAGTAGAACATTATTTCCATAACCAGATCCTCTATTTATTTTACAAGAAAGGCACCTGGGTGATTCCCAACACGTTCAGCATATTTCAAAAATATCTAAATATACCTTACCTTCTAGATTCAGAATCATTTGAAGAGAAAAATCTCTGTTCGCTTTCCTAAATGGTTCATCATATTTAATATTTCTGTCCATTTGGCTTGCTTACAATTTCAAAGCTTTAACCAGTTACTGTATTCTATAAAGATGTATTTTAACTTCATAAAGTTAAAACAATTTCTGATAACTTGTGCTAAAAATGTAATATAAAATTCACTGAAGAGAAGGAAGCCATATCCAATTTAATATACGCTTTTTCTAATGATGTGTTATAAAGCTTAAGATTTAACCTACATCTGATAAGCTAGAAAGGTCTTAAATGCTGTTTTTCATTGGGAAACCAGGGCCTCCATTTTTTAACGTCTTAGCCTGTTGTGTTGACTTTATCACCGCAGAATTGAACCAGTTAACTATTGGTATCCCATATGGACATCCACACAAATCGTTCATTTCTCCTTGGTGCTTTATAGGGTACAGTAATCATCTCAGGTTGATAGCAGATGTTAAATGTGTGTTGTAGGCAGCTTTACTTCTCAAATATTTCCATCAAGTTTTGGATAATTTTAAATGTTAGGAAAAGCAGTGGGGAAAGAAGGCATACTTGCCTTCTGTCTACTCAGTTAAATGCATGTTAATTTTGGCACCTAACAGTTTGCAGTTAGATTGAGAAGGAATCTGGCCAGGAAGGCATTTTGTCTTCCTGTTCTGGTTTTGGGAAAGGAGCAGAGCCCAAGGGGCAGCTCCATCTGGAGGCCTGAAGGAGCCGGGCTGGGCACTGGGCAAGAGCTGTGGTGTCGTCACTGGGGATTTCTGGGTGGGGAGGTGGGGGGGGGAGCTGTCTGGCCTCAGGAGCCCTTGGAGTTGCAGTCCAGGTCATCGGAGGAAGATTGTCTGATTGTAAATCTACTTGATTTACCTGACTCTGTGGTTTCGTCCCCAAACCCCAAAAACTTTAACCTTAGACTGTCTGCTATTGACCTAAGAGGTCTGTAGGGGGCGTGCATAAGCGCACCAACCGTCCCTGTCCTATTGCTTCTTTTATTATTTTTCTTATATGTATTCATAACTATGTTTTTACTTATACCTATTATCTTGTAAGCAATTGACAAATCAAAATAAAATAAAAAAATAAGTGGGAAGAGGAGCTTTTGAATAGAGGCTCATTTCAGACAGTTACAGGCTGCTATGACATTTTGAACAAGTCAGTGGACAGTTTGGCCTGCCAAATAAAACATTCAGAAAAAAAATGAACATCCACAGCTCAACTGCGGATTTTAATTTTTTTCTACAAACAACATAGCTAATCTTAGTTTTCCGTGAAGGAAGGCAGGCTGCTCATAGAAGAGCCGGACACCTGGTTGGGCATACGGCCTTCCCTATAACTGTGTGGTATCTTTTGCCTGCCTATAAACTTCCAGCTTACTGGCATTTTCCCTAAACATATTTTCCCAGATATTCCAGAGATTTTCTTGTGACCTGAGATTCCTTTGTCCCCCTTCTTTTGGGGAGCAGAAAAAGCAAGCTGTAAATAATCCTCTCCTTGTTCCTCCTCTAGTGGAAGTCGATGACTTGAAAAAGATCACCAATTCCTTGACGGTGCTATGCAGCGAGAAGCAGAAACAGGAGAAGGTGGGTTTTTTGGGGGGTGGGGGGCGGGGGGGGCTCTTCCAAGCTTTGGCAGCCACTGTGACATTCTGCTCGGCCTGGGGGAGGGGTCGGTAGCACCTCACGTAGCTTCCTTCTACTGGCTCCATGAAAACGCCTGCTCCTTCTAGACCAGAGGTCTCCAAACTTGGCAACGTCAAGATTTGTGGACCAACTCCCAGAATTCTAGGAATTGAAGTCCACAAGTCTTAAAGTTGGCCCCCAAGTTTGGCGACCCCTGTTCTAGACTTTCTACAATGGAAGAAGCACCTCTTGTCTTATTCTGGCAAGCCGGTTTAGTTGCTTTTGACACAGCAGCCTGTAAACGTTGATCAGGGTCCTGATGAAAGTAAATACTCCCAGTGGTTACACAACACCGCATGTCAGAATAAACGCAAAGGTTTTTTTTTCTTGATTTGGTCCCTTCCACACATTCTGGATTTCAGCTTTTCATCAACCCTGGCTGGTTTCTTGGTGGGGGGAAACTAGCACGGTGGCTTGTAAGGGAATCGAGGCTTGCTTTCCCCCTTTCTAGCCCAGGATAGGGCCAGGTCCACTTGTGTGTTCTTAGATCTGAGCTGTTCCTTTTTCTTCCCAGCAAAATAAAGCCAAAAAGAAGAAAAAAGGAGTGGTGCCTGGTGGAGGCCTAAAAGCAACGATGAAAGATGACCTGGAAGACTATGGCGGCTACGATGGGGGCTACGTACAAGACTTCGAAGACTTCATGTGACCCGCTCTTTCCGTCGGTTGGTTTGCCCAAACTCCCCTAACTAGCACAACTCCTTTCCTTTCAATTCTGCCAAATGCAACAATCAGAAAGTGCGGTATCTTTGTGCTGTTGGTCATCCTGTCACAACTTGACACACTGGAATGCCTGTCTTGATGCCGAGGGAATAAAATTATGAAGCTCAATTTTTTTATTCAATGATAGGAAATAATGGAATCTCAAAGAGGCAGAGGCTCTTCATGGCAGCGAAGCGGCACTAAATTGGACGTGAATTTTGATCTGGCTGAAGTATTATTACCAGCAGAGTTAGTAATAACAATCTTAACTCTACCTTTTTTTACAAGAAACTACCCAGAAAACAAAAGGCAGTTTGCAGCAAATGCATGGGTTTGCAGTAGTATTAAAATGGCTTTTCTATTAGAATTTGGTTTTTCAGTGGCTTGAGGGACGTAGCTATACACTTCCCTGACTTCCAAGCTTGAAAGGGGCAACGGGGGCTGTTTTCCTTGCCCCGGGAGGGGGACGGGAGGAGCTTCTCTGAGCAGTTCAGCTGACACTTTGCTGATTCTTTGGGACAGTTTCTTGTCACTGGTTTGGTGGCTCTCACAAGACTATGGTTTTTTTTTCTTCATGTATAGGAATCCTGCTTAGCAAACTGCAACAGTTACAATAGTTGGGCAAATTGTTATGTTCAGAATTATGACATCTGCAAATGTTTTATAAAAGCAACTAATTTAATAAAATCACTATTGTGAGGACTGAGATTTTTGGTCAGCTTGTGCTTTTCCCACGGGCAACAACAGTGGCTGACACGGGACCACATTGCCCAGGGAAGGCCGGCGTCTCTTCTCCCAACCCCTTCAAGTGGCCGTGTGAATTGTCCAGTTCTGGCCGCACCTTCCTCTCTTCAGTCTGAGGCTGCCCTCTGTTAATAGCCAGTGACTGGCTCCCCCCCCTCCAAAAAAAAATGGGGGAGAAAGATAATTTCTCAAGACATGAGCAAATCCAATAACGGCTCCTCTTCCTAAACATGCAAGTGGCTAAATTGTATTATCTTTAAGGACAGAACAATAATCAGCTGGTAGCCACAACCATGACATGGCATCCAAACTCCAATCCCCATGGTTCTGGAGGAAGAGGCATCCTCCTTTACTGCCATGGCTTCCCAGTCAGCCTTGGATATTAGACCCACACTTAGCCTCCTCGCCCAGTATCTGTAAAGTATCTAAAGCAGAGGTCTCCAACCGTGGGCAACTTTAAGACTTGTGGAGTTGAAGTCCACAAGTCTTAAAGTTGCCCACGGTTGGAGACCTCTGATCTAAAGCTTTCCTCGCACTCCCAAACTAACAGACCACCAGCATTTTCTGGTTCTTTGCGCCATTCATAGACGCCTCGCACACAGCTATCAGCACAAGGTGGAGCTGCCCGCCTTGTCAAGTCCCTTGAAAGTGACACGCGGAGCCGTAATACTTCCAATTCCCAGGCGCTGCAGTCACTGAAATCCAAAATAGGGCCAGATTCAGAAGGCCGCTCTAACAGGTCCAAAAATAGATCTGAAAAGCGACTTCTGGTATGGAAGAAAAAATAATTCTGAAATACTCCCAGGTCGAATTCAGATATATTTTGCTCTCTGGCCACGAGCTAATTCAAAACTCTCTCTCAAGCTTCGGCCAAGGAAGTTGGTCTTCAACGTGAAGTTCTTTTAATCCAATGGCAGAGGCCTTCCTGTCTGACTATATTTGACACCAAGTCCCAGGTTAATAATCCTGTATTTTGTGCAGATCGCGGCATTCGAAAACCAGCATTTTTTCTTTTTTCATCTTCATGACTGAAAATACGGGGTGGTTTCCCCACCCCCACCCCCCTGGTTTGTCTAGTTTGTTGGCAGTTCTGCTTTGCCCAGCCGGGATGAGCTAATTGGCCAGCAAATCGTTGAGACAGCAGCCTGTTTGGGCGTCGTTCAAGAGCACGTTCACCACATCGTAGAACTGGTTGTCGTAGGCGAGCTTGTAGTAGATATAAATGTCCTCGCAGTAAGTCAGGAGCTTCTTCAGGTTTCTGACCACAGACTCGCTGGCTGCGTTCTGCTTGAACCTGAAAGAGACGGCCGGCCGGTGAACGGAGCCCTCCCCCCCACTCTCCCCAGCCCCCCCAAAGCTTCGCCCCCGTCGCTTCCTCTTAAACGCGGCAGCCACAAACCGCCGCCTTCCCAGCTGCACGGAACAGGCCACGACTCACTTGTGGGCAATCTCTTCGAAGGTGCTAGTCCTCAGCAGCCCGTGCTGCTTGTACTCCTCCAGGTAGTTGAAGTCGCCCTTCAGGACCACCTGCTGATAGAGCACCTCTGACCAGTCTGGCGTGAAGTCATAGGCCTCGGCCACCACGGCTGCCTGGAGGAGGAAGAGGGGGAGGCGTTTTCATTCCCAGCCACAGCCTTTCAGGCCCCCCCAGGCCGCTTTCCCGCCGCCAGGGAGGAGCAGTTAGCGGGGCTGCCCAACGTCCACTGGGGCTGTTAAAAGCACCAGACCTTATCCTGGAACTGGAAACGGCAACGTAGGGAAGCGAAGAAGCAAACAAGCAGTGCAAGCTGCGGAGGAATCGAGGGAGGAAGAGTGGAAGTGGGAGCTCGGGGAGGCCGGCCGGGCTGGATCAGAGCGCCTGGAGGCCTCCCCTGCCGGCTTCCCCGCTGACTTCGCTTGGGGGAAGCTGACAAGGGCCGACCTTCTGGTCCCAGGATGCCCAATTCGTGACCAGGTGAACGTGAGAATGCTGCAGCAGCCAGAACTTCAAGAACTGGGTGTAAGTTCAGCCCTGATGCAATTTTGAGGGGGTAAGAGGCTTGTTTTGTATTTATTTATTTCTGTAACTGAATTTATTAATCAATCAGCATTTCCAAACTGCCCCTCCGAGAGCCATGATAGGAAAGAGGACCCCACCCCCTGGCATTTTCCTTCCCCTATCTTAACAGATAAACGCCCACCTTCTCCTCCCCAAGGGCTGAGGGCCCTTCTCACCTGGTAGAACCTGGGCAGTGCCAGGATGCAGGCCGGCAAGCTCTTCCGACTCAGGTTAATCAGCTTGGTTTTGTGCGGAGTGGTCAGGAAGTGGAGCTGCAGGGTGATGAGCCTGGTCAACCTCTTGCAGCGCAAGGACTGGCACACGCAGAAGTCCTGAAGGCAGGAGCAGGGGGGGGGTTCAGGTGGAGGAGGAGCAAGGAGCGACCGCCGGTCCCACCCCAAACCCAGAAGGGAGGCATCAACGTCCACCCTGCAGGTCCAAAACCATTCGAGCGGGACTCCTGGCAAATCCCAGGAAACCCTCCTGGCGACCGGCTGGCTGAGACGTTATACTGTGAGGGAAAAAAAGGGGAGCATTGAAGCGGATCCAACGTCTACGGTAGAACAGCTGGGGGGCCCTTTTTAGGCTCCTCTTCCCTGCTCCAAGGAGGAGCTCACCTTCCGCAGGTGCCTTTGTCCACCTTCCTCCTGCCTTCCTCTATTTAACAACACTTCCAGTAAAGGGCACCCACCGTAGGCCTCCCCGAGTAGTTGCACTGTTCCCACTACGTGAGGGTTTTATAATACACAGGCAGAATACGATTGTCCATAATTTAAACCTGCTGCGCCTATGTCCTGCTCTTCAGGATAAGAGAAAGAACCTTCTATATATGCAACGGAAGAAGAAAAGAAGAAAAAGGGGCTTTGGAAGAATATCTGAAGGGCAGTGAAAAAGACGCACTGAAAAACTAGCATACCGGGCTTAATCGTTACTGGAAAGATTAAATTGGCCTCTAAGACTGATCAAATATTACATGACAAATGACAGTAGAGTAACTTAGGCCCAGAGGGTGCGACGGTTCAGCCGTGAAGGCGCTGAGCTTGGCAGCCTCAGCGAAAGATGGCGGCCCAGGTTTGCAATGGGGTGAGCTCCTGCCGACATAGCAGTTTGAAAGCATGCAAATGTGAGCAGATAAATAGGTACCACTTTGGTGGGAAGGTAACAACAGTCCGTGCACCTTGGTGTTTAGTTATTCTGGCCAGATGACACGGAAGCATCTTGGGCCAACTCTGGCTCCCTCAAGCTGGGAAATGGACATGAACCCCTAAAGTTATGACTGGACAGGGGAAACTTTTAAAGTCTTTTAAAATTCAGCCCTGCAATTATGGTTGTAGGTCATGATGGTCATAAAGCAGGTGACTGGCCTCAATTTCATGTCCTTTTTTGGCGGTGGCTGATAAGCAAAATGTGGTAGCTGGAAACCCCTGCAGGGGTTCAGGCTGGCCCCTCTGCGCTCCACCCCTCCTCCCTCATCCGCAGAGTCCACCCCAAGATGCCAGGGACCCCCATGCACCTCCTTATTCTCCACCTCACCTTGGAGTAGCTCTCGGCAGCGTCTAGGAAGAGGGTGAGGGCCTTCATCAGGAGCTTCTTCAAGCTGGGCAAGTCCTGGAGGCTCCCCTCTGGAAGGAAGGGAGGGAGCAGCGGGTGGTGATCGCCGGGGGCCACCCTGGCAACCCCCCCCAGGCAGAGGGGACGGAGGGGGCAGCAGGTGACCCAGAGCTGAACCCCAGGTATTTCCCCAGGCCCAAATAACAACAACAGCGGCCTCCCTCAAGCTCCTTTGGACACAGGTGACCAGCCTCTCTCACGGGAGCAGGTACGAGGTGCG